CATTCTACCCGTAGTGTTATCTCGTATGTGAATGCTCGACGTATAGTCGAGAAGGGGTGTTTGCCTATTTGGCATATGTTTGCGATTCTAGTGTTGAGATTTCATCTATTGATTCGGTTCCCGTCGTTTGTGAGTTCCCTGAGATATTCCCTTCAGACCTGCCAGGTATGCCACCTGATAGGGATATTGATTTCTGCATTGATTTGGCTTCGGGCACTCAGCCCATTTCTATCCTGCCGTATCGTATGGCCCCGCCTGAGTTGAAAGAGTTGAAGGAACAGTTGCAAGACTCGCTTGAGAAGGGTTTCATTAGACCTAGTGTTTCGCCTTGGGGTGCGCCGGTGTTGTTTGTTAAGAAGAAGGATGGGTCGATGAGGATGTATATTGATTACCGGCAGTTGAACAAGGTTACGATCAAGAATACGTATCCATTGACGAGGATCGATGATTTGTTTGATCAGCTTTAAGGTGCCAAGGTATTTTCAAAGATTGACTTGAGATCTGGCTACCATCAGTTGAGGATTAGGGCATTCGATGTCCCTAAGACAGCTTTCCGCTTTCGGTACGGGCATTATGAGTTCTTGGTTATGTCATTTGGGTTGACAAATGTCCCAGCAACTTTTATGGATTTGATGAACCGAGTGTTCAGGCCTTATTTGGATTCGTTCGTGATAGTCTTCATTGATGATATTTTGATATATTCCCGCAGCCGGGAGGAACACGAGCAGCATCCTAGAGTGGTTCTTCAGAATTTGAGGGATAGTCAGTTATATGCTAAGTTCTCGAAGTGTGAGTTCTGGTTGAGTTCAGTTGCATTTCTGGGTCATGTTGTATTAGCAGAGGGTATTCAGGTTGATCTGAAGAAGATTGAGGCAGTTAAGAACTGGCCTAAACCAGCATCAGCTACAGAGATTCGGAGTTTGTTGGGATTGGCAGGCTACTATCGTCGGTTTGTAGAGGGGTTTTCATCTATCGCAACCCCGATGACCAGGTTGACCCAAAAGGGTGCCCAGTTCAGATGGTCGGACGAGTGTGAGGCGAGCTTTCAGAAGCTCAAGACAGCTCTGACTACGACACCAGTGTTAGTTTTGCCCACAGGTTCAGGGCCTNTGATGCATCTCGTATTGGACTCGGTGTAGTGTTGATGCAGGATGGTAAGGTCATTACCTATGCTTCGCGGCAGTTGAAGATTTACGAGAAGAACTATCCGGTTCATGATTTGGAGTTGGCACCCATTGTTCACGCATTCATGAGGTGTTCATGGATCACAAGAGTCTTCAGTATTTGTTCAAGCAAAAGGAGTTGAATTTGAGGCAGAGGAGGTGGTTGGAGTTGTTGAAGGATTATGATATCACTATATTATATCACCCGGGAAAGGCCAATGTGGTGGCCGATGCCTTGAGTAGGAAGTCAGCCAGCATGGGAAGTCTTGCTTATATTCCGGTCGGTGAGAGACCACTTGCATTGGATGTTTAGACTTTGGCCAATCAGTTCGTGACGTTGGATGTTTCTGAGCCCAGTCGGGTGTTAGCTTGCACGATTACTCGTTCTTCTTTATTGGAGTGTATCCGTGATCGGCAGTACGATGATCCCCATTTGGGTATCCTTAGAGACACGGTGCAATACGGAGGTGCCAAGCAGGTTACCTTAGGTGATGATGGAGTTTTGAGATTGTAGGGTCGAGTGTGTGCCTAATGTAGATGGGCTCCGAGAGTTGATTTTAGAGAAGGCCCATAGCTCCCGGTACTCTATTCATTCGGGCGCCGCAAAGATGTATCAGGATTTGCGACAGCATTATTGGTGGTGTAGAATGAAAAAGGATATCGTTGCATATGTGGCTCGGTGTATGAATTGTCAGCAGGTTAAGTATGAACATCAGAGGCCTAGTGGATTATTTCAGAGGATTGAGCTTCCTGAGTGGAAGTGGGAGCGGATCACTATGGATTTCGTTGTTGGACTCCCGCGGACTCGGAGGAAGTTCGACGTTGTATGGGTCATTGTTGATAGGCTGACCAAGTCAGCGCATTTTATTCCTGTGGCAGTCTCCTATTCATCTGAGAGGCTAGCTGAGATCTATATCCGGGAGATTGTTCGTCTTCATGGTGTGCATGTGTCTATTATTTCGGTCCGAGGTACGCAATTTACCTCATGTTTCTAGAGAGCAGTTCAGCGAGAGTTAGGCACGCGGGTTGAGTTGAGCACAGCATTTCATCCTCAGACGGATGGGCAGTCCGAGCGGACTATTCAGATTTTGGAGGATATGCTCCGAGCTTGTGTCATTGACTTTGGAGGCTCGTGGGATCAGTTCTTGCCTTTAGCAGAGTTTGCCTACAACAACAGCTACCAGTCGAGTATCCAAATGGCTCCTTATGAGGCTTTATATGGTAGGCGGTGCCGATCTCCGGTTGGATGGTTTGAGCCTGGAGAGGCTCAGTTGTTCGGTACGGATCTGGTTCAGGAGGCCTTGAACAAGGTCAGGATTATTCAGGATAGGCTTCATACAGCTCAGTCCAGGAAATAGAGTTATGCAGACCGCAAGGTTCGAGATTTGGCATTCATGGTAGGTGAGTGGGTATTGCTTCGAGTGTCGCCTATCAAGGGCGTGATGAGATTTGGGAAGAAGGGCAAGCTTAGCCCTAGGTTCATTGGCCCGTTTGAGATTCTTGATCTAGTGGGAGAGGTGGCTTATAGACTTGCTTTGCCGACGAGCTTATCAGTCGTGCATCCAGTATTTCATATGTCCATGCTTTGGAAGTATCACGGCGATCCATCCCACGTGTTAGATTTCAGCACTGTCCAGTTGGACAAGGACTTATCTTATGAGGAGGAGTCGGTGGCTATTCTAGACCGGCAGGTTCGTCAATTAAGATCGAAGAGTTTTCCTTTTGTTCGTGTTCAGTGGAGAGGTCAACCTCCTAAGACATTGACCTGGGAGTCCGAGTCCGATATGCGGAGCCGTTATCCCCATCTTTTCCCCGACTCAGGTACTTTCATCTTCTGTCCGTTCGAGGACGAACAGTTGTTTTAGAAGTAGAGAATGTGATGATCCAAAAGGTCATCACTTGTGTTGCAATAAAATTCTACGTTCCGAGGCCTTAAAAACCTCCTTTAGCACCACCTCAATTTGCGTGCGCAGTCCGGCGCGTAGCCGGAAAGCTTAAATGTGAAAATCTGTGAAAAATGATAAGTATTGACTAAAATGAATAAATTTGACTTCGGTCAACGTTTTGGGTAAACGGACCCGGACCTATAGGAAAGTATGGGACTTGGGCGTATGCCCAGAATCGAATTCCGAGGTCCCCATGCCCGAGAAATAAATTTTTAAAGGAAATTATTTTCTGAAATTGTTTAAAGAAATTTGAAATAAAATTTGCTTAGAACATGATGGTATCGGGCCCGTATTTTTAGTTCCATCGCCCGGTACAGGCCTTATATATGATTTAAGATGTTTCTGTGGAATTTGGTGAAAAACGGATGTCATTTGACGTGATTCGGACTTAAATTGCAAAATTAATGTTTAAAGAAGTTTTGAGAAATTTCATTGATCTGGAGGGTTAATTTGATGTTCATGATATTATTTTGGTGATTTGATTACACGAATAAGTCTGAAGGATTTATATCCACAGTATTTATTACCCATTTCAAATCATTTTATCAAATCAAATAAAATATGCATCAATTAATATGAGTAATAGTAAATTATGCACTTCATTTATTATTTTTTAAGGGGCGTGAAAAGTCGAAACGTCCCAAATAAAAATAAACGGAGGGAGTAATATATTTTATCTATATTTGATCTTCTCATGCTTTGTATAAAAGATAGTGGAAATAACTTCCTTGCGAAACAAAGGAACCAAAAAAAAAAGTACGCAAAAGCACTTTTCTCTTTGCAAAAAAAAAAAAAAAAAAAAAAAACCCTTTTTATTCTTCTATAAAAGCTTTTTTTTAAAAAAAAAACTAACAAAACAAAGAAGCCATACACTATGCAAAGTTTGTCGAGACCTATTTTAAAAACCCATTTAAGAGAAAATACTNACCCTTGTCGGTATTCCTTGTGATTATTGTTGGCTTGTAATGGGAGCGGGTGGTAAGCCTACCACAAGATATAATAAAATGGGAGCGGATGGTACGCCTACCGCAAGATATAATGAAATGGGAGCGGGTGGTACGCCTACCACAAGATATAATAAAATGGGAGCGGGTGGTACGCCTACCACGAGATAAATGAAATGGAAGCAGGTGGCACGCCTGCCACGAGATACAGGACATGAGATCGGGTTGCACTTGTTATATTCCATTTCAACACGGGTCAAACTAGAGTATAACATATTGGTAATTCTGAAGGTTTAATTCATAAAAAGAGTCGCCACCTGATTATTTTAACGGTGAATTAGGACACCAATTTTAGCTAAATAATGCTTAAAATTAACTTTGTTTTATGGCCTACTTAACCTTTAAGACTATGAGTAAGGGTTCTAATTAATCTTATAGAGAAAGTATTAAGCACTCTATATGATCCATTAAATATGGTTAACCGGCCAAACTTAGGTTAATTAATACCAAGTATGAAATATAGCAAATTAATTATGTTATGTATATACTTAAAATAAACATATCCCTTAGCTAATATATGTGCAAATTTATTAAGGTAATCGTAAAAAATTACTTTAGTTATAGTGTAGACTTAAAAATTGATTCTCACTTTTTGAATTACTAAACTATTAGATGGGCAGGATAATAAAAGTTGAATAACTAGTATCAGTTTAAAAAGTATCTTTTGTAAATAAATATTTTCTTGGTTAAAAAATAGGTCTAGACTTGGTGTCAATTTGTCTTGGCAAAATGCGGCTTGAAAGACACAAATAAATTTGAAGGCTTACTTGCAAAGATGAATAAAAGAGATTCCGAAAAACTCACTGCATTCTACCCATACGCATTCCCAGTAACAATTAACTAATTCCTTTGAAATCTGTTTGACTTTTTATATAAAAAGAAGTGTCTGAAGTATAATATTAAGCTTACTAAAAATTGAATACACTAGTGGCAAATAAAAAAAGTTATTAGATTACCGATTTTAGACCTTATTCTAATTACCATATCCTCTGTGATATAGCAAAAAGCCTAAATAATTAAATTTAAACTTGAGATAAACCCCAAATGCACAGGCAAATTAACAATCACAAAAGTTAGATAAAACGAATGGGAAAAGAATTAAAAGAAGAAGAACGCCATAGGCGCCCCCAAGCGTTTCGCTTGTTTTCTTGCTATTTGGTGCATCTAAGGAATATGGTATGTGATGACTCCGTGCTCGGATAGTGGCGTCAAGTCTCATTTTGAGACTCCATTGCAAGGGTCTCGAATTAAGACTCCATGTGCTCCAAAGTGTACATATAAAGAAAGAGAAAAATAAACCGTTAGCAAAATAACTTAAGAGTTTAATTAATATATGCAAGGATAAGAAGGATTACTAAGTGGAACTTGATTTTTAACAATGTATCAAGATCAAGATATGAAAAGAGGTCATAGTGTCATATTATTTTATGAAATTTCAGCCATATTTGTTTCCTAAAGAAAAGAATTTTGGATAACTAATAGCAATAAGTTCATAACTTTGGCTAAAGCATATCAAGTCCTAGCTTAACAGTATGCATTTAGATAAATCTATTCTTAAACAAGTTGTTCGGAATCCTAAGCATGATGTTTAGGCGCAAAGGTGCTAAATCACAATAGCAAATTAATCTTTTGCAAGGCGACTAGCTCATGGAAAAAATCCTTCTTAAAATCATGGCATCTAATAGAAAAGTATTCAAAAGGAGATAGGTATTTTCATGTGAGCATTTCATCAAATATCAGTCAAGCATACTTCTAACACTACATACCAGAACATGATCTCCTTAAAGGATTATTGCTAACAACTTTAGTCATAGATCATTACCTTAAACAAACATTTATTAGAGCTATTTTTATAGCACCAAATATAAAAGCTTAATAGAAACTAACAGTCCTCCAGCAAATACACACCAGGCATCAAACGTACCCTAATCAAAATCAAAATGAGAGCGAGAGGGGAAGATACAAACCTTTTGCAGGGCAGCGAACTGAGGCGGGTCTTAGATGTGCTATCGAACTTCGATCTCGACCTTACTCCTTCCTCTCGGACAAAAGAAGACTCAACTAAAATAAATAAAGGATAACCAAAATTTCTGCTATGTAAATACCAAATAGAAATAGTAGAGGTGTTAAAGTTAAAGCTTTTACTTAAGGAGATAGCTAATAGGAAAGAGTGAATTTTAGTGAGGAGAAGATAGCATCCAGAAGTCCCCCCAATATTTCCCTATTGCAAGTATTTATAAAAGAAACATATGGCTCTTTGGGCGGGATTTTACCTCTAACCCTTTTGAAATTTGAACGTTGGTAGAGGCAAAAGAAAAGAGGAAGAATCAGAGAGGCAAGATTCAAAAAAGATTTGCCTTGTATTCTTCCCGAAAACAGCGAGATCTTTGCCTAATTTTGTGAGAGTCATTGTGCCATTATGCTCGGAAGAGGAAAGATGGCAGGGAAGCCATGTGAACTGTAACAGATACGAAGAGAGAGAGGGGTGGGGTAAGAGGCGTTAGATTTGAGGAGAAAATTCATTAACAATTAAATGGAATTTTTGAAATCCAAAAGAGAGATATTTTTGTGGAAGAATCTAGAAAAGAATTGAGACATGGGCTAATATTTGTAGGCTGATTTAAAGATTTACTTGGGCTGTCCTGTTTGGAATGATTTGGGCAGCTAGAATTAGTAGAAAAATATTGGGCTAGTAACTAGGCCACATTTCCTTTCTTCTTACCAAATTCTTAGGGCTTCTAATAATAACAATATTAATGCTAAAAAAAGGCAAGTAACTAACCTATTTATTATACATAATCATAATTGCTAATATTTAAATAAAATACTAATCGTAAAATACCGCAAGATTTATTGAATATAATTTCGTAATATTTAAAAGTGATTGCAAAAAATATTCTCGCTTAGTGAGATAAAAGAAATAAAATATAATTTTCGTGAAAGGTAAGAATAAATACGATTAAGGTATGAATGATAAATACGATAGCTATAGAATTATTATTATTAATAATAATAATAATAATAATAATAATAATAATAATAATAATAATAATAATAATAATAATAATAGATTTAATAATAATAACAAATAGGCATAGTTTGTGTAAATAATATAGTAGAATAACTACCTCATATTATTAGTGATATTAGAAACTTAAAGAAATAGTTTGGAAGAAAGGAGGGACAAAATTGGATGTCAACAGCACGCCTGCAACAAGACGTGAAAAGAAAGTGAAATCTGCCTTTGTTTTTCTTATTCTTGTTAGTGGTTGGATTTTGATTACTTTATAGTTTTCTTGATACTTTGTTTTACCTGCTATTCCCCGAAGCATGTTTCCCTCTGTCACGACCCAATCTCCAAACCCGGTCGTGATGGCGCCTCTCGTGAAGACAAGGTCAGCCAGACCAAAACGGAACACCTCTTTTAAACAGTTAATCATCATAAACAGTAATAACATATAATATAATACTCATAAATTGCGGAATTTTAACGTTAACAACAGTAGGGACCATCCCGATACATCCCAAACCGAGGTGTCACCATTCATGAGCTACTACAGAATCTGCTATAGGTCTACAAAGTACAGAATCCGATACAACAGTCTGAAGAAAACATAAATGATGGAGGATAAGAGAGACAAGGGGTTGCAGACGTCAACAGCTACCTCGTAACTCCAAATCACTACCTAGCCTGGACGGAATCAGCGCTCAGGTGCGGACTCTGCTATGCCTGAATCTGCACACATGGTGCAGGGAGTAATGTGAGTACTCCGACTCAGTGAGTAACAATTATAAATAATGGCTGAAAGTATGAAAATACGTAAAGACACAAATCAATTCCACATTAAGCAGTAAAATCACTTAAAGCAGTAAATCAGTGAAGAATCAAATGATATTCCTTTTTAAAACAAGTAAAACAGGTAATTTAATAGGTAAATAACAAGTAGAAATCCGCCCCTCGGGCACAGTATCAATCGCTCAGCATAGTATCAGCCCCTCGGACTCATTCTCAGTACAGTATCAGCCCTTCGGGCTCAGTATCAATCACTCAGAACAGTATCAGCCCCTCAGGCTCACTCTCAGAATAGTATCAGCCCCTTGGGCTACCTCACAATCACTCATATCAGCCCCTCGAGCATAGTATCGATCACTCAGAACAATGGGTACCCGCGCTCACTGTGGGTGTGCAGACGTCGGAGGGCCCCCTTACGGCCCAAGCGTTATATCAAGCCACCTCGTGGCATCATCACTCGGCACTCGGCCTCACTTCACCCAAGCCACCTCGTGGCATATAAAGTATCTCAGGCCCTCGGCCTCATATCACTCAGCATATCCT